AAAACTCGTCTGTAGACCGACTAATCAGAACCACCAGTGCTCACACTATATTTTGTCTTATGACACCAACGATACATGACACAAAACTTATACATCAAACAATTTCTCGTCAGATCACTACTATCTGGTCCTTCAGGACATCCGTTAAAATTGGAACAATACACACAGAGAGAGAATATTACCATGGCCCCTGTGGAAGAATGGCACACATAAATCGATAAACGGTCCAAATCGAAGGAAAAGAAAAACACTCAAAAGTAAAAACAGGTCGCTACCGTCTGGCAAGCTCACATGGAACACTGCAGTCTACATAGATCTTCATCGGACTGCACAACTCTAAACTCGATCAGTTACTTCTCCATTTCCAACCTGGCCAAACTGCACTGCTGTACTATATGTGGACCTAGGGTCTGCTGTCGTTTTCCATATGGTGCTTAAGTCATTGTCTGCTCCGTTCTGCATGAACGAATGAGATGTCGCACTAGGAATGAGATGTTGCGTTGGGATCTTGGGCTGCTCATTACTTGGCCTGCTGGGCTGTTTGCCTGAAAGACGTCCTACATGCCTGTCCTGTGCCTTGTTGCCTTGCCACACACACCACACCCTACTGCGCGTCCTGTCGGCTTATCTTCTGTCTGCCTTCTGTCTTGCCGCTTGCTTTGCTGCTCACCTGCTTGCCTGCTTTCTGCCTTATGCCGTGTTCCTTGCTTCTTGCCTTGCTGCTTGCCTTGCTGCCTGCCTGCTTGGCTTCTTTGTGTCTTGTTTTTCCCCTTGAGTTTGCCTTGCTGACTGCCTGCTTGACTCCAGTGTGCCTTGGCCTTTTGCCTTGTGTTTGCCTTGCTGCCTGCTGCTTTGCGCATTTCGCCTTTGCTTTGCTGTTGCCTTGCCGCTTGCCTTGAGACTTGCCAGCCCGGTCACCTCAAAGATTTCCTTGCCGCTTGCCTGCCTCCCTGCCTGGCTGCTTGCCTTCCCACTTCGCCTGCGCTTTGCCTCTTGCTGACTTCCGGCTTGACTCCCGCGTGCCTTGTCTTTTTGCCTTGTGTTTGCTTTGCAGCCTGCCTGCTTTGCGGATTTCGCCTTTGCTTTGCAGTTGCCTTGCCGCTTGCCTTGCGACATGCCAGCCCAGTCACCTCGAAGCTTTCCTTGCCGCTTGCCTGCCTCCCTGCCTTGCTGCTTGCCTTCCCACTTCGCCTTCCCTTTGCCAGTTGCTGACTTCCGCCTTGACTCCCGCGTGCCTCGTCTTTTCGCCTTGTGTTTGCCTTGTAGCCTGCCTGCTTTGCGCATTTCGTGTTTGCTTTGCCGTTGCCTTGCCGCTCGCCTTGCGACTTGCCAGCCCTGTCACCTCAAAAGCTTTCCTTGCCACTCGACTGCGTCCCTGCGTTGTGCCTTGCTGCTTGCCTCGCCACTCTGCCTGCCCTTTGCCTCTTTGCCTACCCACTCACCCGCCTCCCTGGCTTGCAGCTTGCCTCGCCACTTTGCCTGCCCTCTTACCTTGCTCCTTGCCTGCCCACTCACCTCCCCCCCGTCCTTGTGCCTTGCCTTGCTGTACCCCGGCCTTCTCGCCTTCTGCCTTGCTGTTGCCGTGACGCTTTCTGCTCCCCTGTCCCTGCTGCTCGCCCATCCGCCTTGTGCCTTGCTGCTTGCCTTGCCATTTCGCCTGCCCTGTTGCCTCTTTGCCTATGCACTCTCCTGCCTCCCTGCCTTGTGCCTTGCTGCTTGCCTTGCCCATTCGCCTTCCCTGTTGCCCTCCTGCTTGCCTACCCACTCACCTGTCGCCCTTCCTCTTGCCTTTACTTGCTGGATGCCTTCCTTCTTTCCGTGTGCCTTGCTGTTTTCTTGATACCCTCTCTGCTCCTCCGTCCCTGGTGCTCACCCATCTGACACGTGCCTTGCTGCTTGCTTTGCTGCTTGCCTGCCTTCTCGTCTTGCGCCTCGCTCCCTTTCGGTTTGCCTTGCATCCGTACTTTGCTGCTTGCCTGCTCACCTGGTGCCTTGCTGCCTTGGTGCTTGTTTTGACACCTGCCTGTCTGATGCTCACCTGAAGCTGCCTTGCCCACGCACGACTGCCGGGAAATGCAGATGACGACTCTGCAAACTGTAAAGGGTTTAGCCATCTCTTGAGCCGGTGAGCGTCTGACGAAATGGAACGTAATTTTGCTAATGTTTTGGTTTATTATGCCTTCGTTAAAGTTCATTTCATTACTGATAACCAAATATAGTGCTCACCTTAAGCTTCTCCTCTAGTTGAGCCTGTGATCAGTCACTGTGGTTAAGTTGTTTTTTTGCTGTTAAATATGCTGGAATTGACTTGGTCTGATGCTAAAAAAACTTAAAAAAGAAAATTAAATTTAGTTGGGAACTTGGGAAACTTCAGCATGAATCTGTGAGTGTCATGTCAATTCCCTTTATCCTGAATGAAACTATGCTTCAGTGCAAAGCTAGACTGCTGAAGAATGAATGCAGCACATAAAACACACACACAGACACACACCGATGTTCGGATTATGACCCTTGCAAGCATTGACTATTTTTTTTATCGGGCATTGAGGCTGTGTATGGTCCATTAAATCGATTGATCAGGGTACACTTCGTTTATAACTTCACAAGGAGGTTAGGCGAGATCCCCCCCCCTCCCTCCACTAACACTTCCAAGTTTTGCTAAAAGCAAAACTGATCAGTGGTGTGGAAATCCAGCAAATACTCCACAATATAAACAAAGTTAACAAACGCTTCCAGGCGACACGAAAAAGTGAAGAACAGCTTTCAATTTCCATAAGCTCAACATCATTGCGAAAAAAATGGCATAAAGGTTATGGCGTCTCAGACGCTGTGTGCATACAAACCATGGTCGTGCCGTGCTTGGCGTCTTCGTCCACCATTCTGGTCAAGATTATTTCACACCTGCAAACGTTTTCCCTGGCTCAGCCTCTCCCTCTGCCTGATGAACCCATCACGACCAAAGGTTCGTCTCGCTTGCCCACAGCAACCACTGTTCCAGCACAAACAAGAGGGTACCCGCCAATTCTTTTCCGATCCCAGGAACGGCCGAAACCACTTGAGCACACTTTTGTACGCGCACTACGACTTTCCTAGACATACCTGACTGTAGTTACTGCCGGGTCGGGTCGACGGAGACGTCTCAGCACTCGAGAGCCGGCAGGCTGATGCCATTTGGTCTCCCCGACGCTCTCTCCCTCCGCCCCCTTCCGATCCCAGGAACGGCCGAAACCCCTTCAGCACACTTTTGTACGCGCAGTACGACTTTCCTAGACATACCTGACTGTAGTCACTGCCGGGTTGGGCTGATGGAAACGTCTCAGCACTCGAGCGCCGGCAGGCTGATGCCATTTGGTCTCCAACGCTCTCTCCCTCCGCCCCCTTCCCCCCTTCCCCCCTTCCCCCCAACTTCCCCTGCCCTGCTCTACCTCCTCTTTTGTTAACTGATCAGACGACTGTGGTTACTTTACAGGTTATTCCTTGCCTAGTAATCTGTGAACCTCTTCTCTCTCTGTACCCCCCACCCCACCGCCCCTCCTTCCGTCCCATCATTCTTCAACGGCAACAGGACGCTAACACCACATTGTCCGCTGCACAACCATTTGTGAAAGACAATTTTTTTTGGCAAAATATTGGACATTCGTAATTGCCACCTTGCACATTCTTTTCAGCCACATCGGGCTGAACAGCTTCAAACAGCACACATTCTTTCCCCCCAAATCGGGCTGAACTGCTTCAACTGGCACATTCTTCCCCGCCAAAACCGGGCTGAACCGCTTCAACTGGCACATTCTTTCCCGCCAAAACCGGGCTGAACCGCTTCAACCTGCCCATTCTTTCCCGCTAAATCAGGCCGCACTGCTTCAACCTGAACATACCACATCAGGCTGAACGGCTTCAAACGGCACATTCTTTCCCACCAAAACCGGGCTGAACCGCTTCAACTGCCACATTCTTTCCCACCAAAACCTGGCTGAACCGCTTCAACTGCCACATTCTTTCCCGCCAAAACAGGACTGAACCGCTTCAACTGGCCCATTCTTTCCCACCACAATCGGGCTGAACTGCTTCAACTTGCCCATTATTTCCCGCCAAATTGGGCTGAATTGGTTCAACCAAAGTGAATTTGCGAGTTTGGACTTCCACGAATCGCACCAGTCAGGCTATGAAAGGCTGTCAGAGTAAACTTGTACGAACGATTGTAGCCTGTTGCAGGTGGGAGCCCATATTAAGAACGCAATAAGCTGTGTTCAAACGGTTAGTTAGTGTGCCAGAAGCGGTCTTCAGCGGTTGATTTGATCGTGTAAAGTCTACTTGTCAAATTTTCCAGGAGTTCAACGTTGGCCGTGGTTTGATCAGGAATTCCACCCAGCCTACTGGCATCTTCGCCCAACAGAACATTCCTTCTGAGTGACACCTCTGGAGGCTGCCCTCGTACCTGAAGAGAAGCCTCTTGGGTGAATGACCCGGATGCTTCCAGAGGCCACGAAGATTCTTCAGGCCTCCTAAGCTGTCCTCGGTTACTTCCTGTGCTAGTTGATCTCTCTTCAAGGTCTCCAACTCCCCTTCGTGCATCCAAATGATTTCTCATATCTCTGTCCATAACAGGCAAACAGGATTCCATGGCTCGGACAAGGACTGCACCCCTTCCTCTTGCCATACGCAGCATGCTCCGGCACCCCAAAGGCCGGGCTCTAGCAGAGACCAAGCCTGGTGCTTCAGCAAGCACACCATTCTTTGTATCCACATCCTCTCCACTGTTTGTGATTCCATCATCCTCCTGCAACCGTACACGGCAACTCCTGATCAGGCCTGCTGCATCCCCCATGCTCTCGGTGCTATACGAGCACATGTCATTTCCTGATCTTACGGCAGTGCACGACTCCCGGAGGTCGTTATAGGAAAACCCTTTAGGAAGCTCCCCTCCGGGCCCATTAGACGCAGCATTCTCACAGTGAACTGATGTACTGTCTGCATTTATGGTTTGGATGTGGGATGGGACCGGTCTAAGGTCCACTCGCACACTCTGCAGGTCCACTCGCACACTCTGCACAACAGTTCCATTCCCAGTTTCTGCTCTCGGACTGCTACAATCTCCACACCGAATGAGCGCCGACCCACGCTGGCAAAATGTTCCCTCGGGTGAAAAGCCGTGTTGTGACTCCCCCCGCTCCGCTTCCACTACAAGCGCAGCCCTCTTTGAGGGGGGGGCGCTTAGAACCTCCTCCACTGGACCAAGCTGGTGAAACATTCGCTCTGGTGAAAACCCGTGTTGTGATTGGCCCCCCTCCGTTTCGACTACAAGTGCCGCCTTCTTCGGCGGAGGAGGGCGGGGAGGAGGGCTTAGAACCTCCTCCACTGGATCTGTGATAGGTACACTGAACGCCACCGCACCGATACCCCCCGAGTCTGAGTAACGTCCGCATTCAGTCCCTTCGCTCACAATGGCATGGTTAACGACAGCTTCAGCCGGTGTGTCTTTCAACACAAGCACGCAGTCAGCATCGCTGTCACTACGTGGACAACCACTCGTTGAACCCCGTTTAGAACAGCTGTCGAGGTCTTGATCTGCAGAGTGCCCACTAGTAGCGGCATCACACCATTTTCTCTTTGAAGCCATGCTGCTGTCACTTGACTTATGCGATAGCATTCCCATGCTTTCTGCTACTAACCCATCTTGCACCCATAACCTGTCTTGTGCCAGAACCCCATTCTCCTGGTCCATGACTCCTACATTTATACAACCCTCACCCTTGCCCTGCACGTCTTCTTGAAGGCACATCAGTTGCTGCCTTTCCTCCCTTTGCGAGGACCATATGGCACTTATGCCCACCTCCCTCTCCTCCGTTGTGAGACAAGCCACACCCGATGCATCCTGATCGTTGTCCTGTGTCGATAAGCAACCTTCGCACCCAGGAAGAGCAGATTGATGAGTGCTTTCATTGCTTGTCCAGCACTCGTCCTGTTGAGTTTCGTCCACAACAGGGACATTCTCTTCCTCGTCCTCATCCTCGTCATCATCAAGTGTCAAATCTATCACAATCGGGGATGACGTGCAGGACGGATCTCCTCGTCCAGCAGCACTTCCGTCCCCCTTCCCTTCACAAATCCTCAACTCTGTCCCCTGATCTTGGCAGACGTCACTTTTAATATCCCCGCTACACCTGCCCAAACGCTCTGTGCTCTGATCATCCGGACATTTCATTATTCCTCCCATTTGTTTCTTGTTCATGCAATCTGTGCTGCAAGGTTCTACTTCTCCAGGCTCTCGCTCTTCCAGCCTGTCATCTCCGGAACTACTAGCCGCACACCTGAGAGATTCCCCATCTATTGCAGTTGTTCTTAAATCAGGCCCCTCGTCCTCTTCTGCTCCAATCTGCGTCTCTCGAACTTCTGCTCCGATCTGCGTCTCTCGAAGTTCTTTAAGCCGTTTCGCCACTTCTTTCATAGGAAGCGCAGAACTAAGCACCGACCTCATCTGATTTCGCAGGAATACTCGATCCATACTCTCCAAATCTTTGCGTCTACTGATATCTACCAAATCCGCATCTTCGCCAATCGTGAGAGGCTGCATTGCACACAGGTCCTTTGCCCTGCAATCTTTCCCTATGCAGCCACTATCTGAGTATTCCTCTGCTACAGGTTCATCTTTCACTCCCTCTGGTATCACCTGTCCAGCTGCAACAATTGAACATCGTTCCAGCGTTGAGGTAAGCCTGTCATCACACAAATCCCCTGCCATGCCCCTTCTTATTAGATGAGTTGGAATCTCCTCTTCCTGCCCAGCTGGGTCTACTGTCTCCTCTGAAGTTTGTTCCTCCAGAACTCGGCCTTCAGCCATATCTGTCCTCACGGAGCTGAACTCTCCTCCCTGATCTTGATGCACTCCATGCTCCTCTGACGAGCTGCTGCTGCATTCTTCCCACTCACCACAGTATTCTGGACGTGATTCTTCCACAGGCTGCCAGGTCGCATCCGTAAAGATCTGCACCTCTACTGCACGCTCAGCTTCCCGTAAGATGCCCTGCACTGCTCACTCCAAAAAAAAGAGCCCCAAACATTGAACAGAGTTTAAAAAGCTCCAAAAAGCTTTTTTTCAATCAAGAAAAAGATTCAGATCTTAAACCACAAGTACATGCAAGCCTCTGTTTGCCAAGGCAGCTTCCCACCCCCACAACATCCCCCCCGGCAGGCTTTTGCTGAAACGGCAGTCCGGTGCTTCCTTGTTTCGGCGCCAGCCATTTTGGTCCGGTAGCCCCAAGCTTCCGAAATGTTCGGATTGGCTCAATTTCCATTCTCAAGTTTCCCTGAGCGATGTGCTGACGGTTTTAAGTCCTATGGTTATGGAATTTGAGCAGAGACACAGAAATCACTTCCGCTCTTTGTTCTCGGCACTAGGTTACCAGGCTGTCCTCGCCAACCATCCAGGGTTTGGGTGCCCTGCCTACAAGATTGTGAGTCGACAGCTTCAGAAATCAGGGCAGGTGTCGACCCCAAAGTGTGAGGAGCGAACGACGTGATGCAGAGGGAGACTGAAAACGCACAGATTGTAGTCATCAGACTCGGGACAAGACACGCACATCATGAAATAAGGAAGACGGGAAAGGCAGTTCATACCAGAAGAAGGTGCCACCTTGGCCCTCACTCATGGTGAGATAATCACACAGACGAAGGGGGTGACGGACGAGACGATTGTGGGAAGACGAAGAGACTGCAACTCAATGTATCTGCCGAACGATAATAGTTTCTCACAGTAGTCCCAAAATAGTCTCAGTCCAAACGTTGTGTCCAAGTTTGAGGTGACCGAGATTCTCTCTCTCTCTCTCTCTCTCTCTCTCTCTCTCTCTCTCTCTCTCTCTCTCTCTCTCTCTCTCTCTCTCTCTCTCT